TATCTCTCTTTCTCATTTTTCTCTCTCTTTCTCTCATTCTCTCTCTCTCTTTCTCTCTTTCTTTCTCTCTCTCTCTCTCACTCTCTCTCTCACTCTCTCTCTTTCTCTCTCTTAGTATGTTTCTGTTGTTATTGTCCTCCCTCCTCTTTTTTTCGTTCTCGTGATTCAAGACAGGGCTCTCAATCATTAATTACTGGGATGTTTTGTTTTGGGGGCTCCTTCCTTTTCTACCTTTCTTTGTCTCTCTTTCTTTCTTTTTCTCTGTCTTTCTTTCCCTCTCTCTTTCTTTCCTTACCTCGTTCACTCTCTCTCTCTCTCATTCTCTCTCTCTCTCTCTCTCTCTCTCTCTCTCTTTCTCTGTCTCTCTCTCTTTCTCTCTCTCTCTCTCTCTCTCTCTCTCTCTCTCTCTCTCTGTGTCTTTGTGTGTGTCTCTTCTGTATATCAAGTAGTATACAGGGGGACGGGGTACTGGGAAAGAAAAGAGACGTTGGAAGAAAAAGTAAGATGGAAGTAGAGATATAGCAATAAAAAAGAATGTTGGGAAAAATGTGTGTCTGTGTGTGTGGGGGGGGGGGGGGGGGGCTATTTCCAGTCAAGTCAAATGTATCTGTGTCAAAATGTTCCCTCAAAACGAATTATGTCTTCAATGTCATAATTTATTCGTTTGGTTTTTTTCTTTTTTCTATTATAGCTCAAAGGATTTCTTTTTCTAAAAGAAAGCGTGTTATCTATTTGGGTTGGGGGGGGGTTTATTTGGTGATTTCGGTTTGCTTGTTTGTTGTGGGGGAGGGGGGGTTCTTTTTGCTTGTTTTTTTGGGTGGGGGGGGCAATTTTTGTCAGTTTTAGTTACTTGGTGATCAGACTTTTCCTGAATGCCAAATTTTGCACAGGATGCTTTTGGTCAATCGTTTTTCCTGAAATTATGTTGTCTTCAGCTAAGTGCTCCTTCTCTTGAGACGAGGAGGCAAACAAACGGAGAAGTTGGTTTGAGAAGAGGGAATAATGAAGTCATCATGGCACCAAAAAATACAGTCTTGGCGCCGTCTGCCCATTCGCTTGATATCACGACGCTTCTCAAAACAAATGAGAGCACAGCAGATAACGGCCACGCGGCCTTTCTGGATGAACCTTCAGTCTCTAAAAGGGAGAAGAGAATCCAACAACAGTTTTTCGTTGATGCCCTGTCTGTGCTCACGTTATCAATAAAAGTTACAGACTTGATATAAGAGGAAGAAATACAGAGAAAACGAACGAAATATTGTAAGATAGGGAGTCATTTATTCCGCAAAGGATATTGGCAGGCTGATTTTCCCTGTTTTCGGTGAGGAATCATTACTTTGGGTATATCCCGTCAGAATACGTTTAGCAGTATGCAGTAATAACGAGTGAGATAATAGTGTATATTATGCTAATGCATTCTGGGTCTTCTCATACTCTCCTTAATTCCCCACTGAGATCGTCTGAGAAAATAAGGTAACATTTGTGATGCAGGTTTGATATTAGGACAAACAGGTTCTTGTTATTTGTATATTCCCTTTTTCTTAGTTCTGAACAGAATTCAGCTGGCTGTTATATTTAGGTATTTGCATATGAACAAAAACACGACTGAAACAAAGAGACAGATGGCTTGTTGTCAGGGGCGGCTCGAGGGGCTAAAAGGTGGACGTGCACAATTAAGCTATCGCATGCTGAAGATAGTCAAGGGCATAGTAAATGAGACAGTGTATTATTTCAAGATTTGGGTTGGTGAGGGAGGACCTCGTGCTTTTATTTTCATTCTTTTTACTGGTCGCTTTAATTTCTGATTCTAAATTTGTTTGTTAGCTAAACATCAATTTCGTTCATCCTGTATTGGAACTGAACACTCAAGTAATACCTTTCACTACTCCACTACAAAACCATTCAAAGGCACAACTCTTAGGACGGCCACGTTCACCTCCCTCAGGTTCCCGGTCACAGAGTCACTTAAAATAGTGGCAAGACAGACAATGAACCAATCACAATTCACTTGAGCACTCCGCTAGATTGCTCAGGCAGGGAATCACATAATATTGGCAAAGGATAGCGTACAGTCTATCGCGTTTATTTTCAGACTGCCTGCTGTGGGCTATGCTTCGGCATTATTCGGCAGGAGCACATTAGAGACGTGCCGTCTTATTAATATTAATGTACCTTCAAAATCGCTACGAGTGTCGTCATCGCTTGGGTTATCCCCAAGAGCGATTTATAGGTTAGGTTACACTGTTGAATATCCTATTATGTTTAGCTAAAGCGCGTGGACTTTGGCATAGCATAGTAGATTCTAGATATTTTACGGCGCTATTGACACAGAAATGACAGTTATGGTGCCAGTGAGGACCTTGTTTTGATATAATATTTGGCTAGTGTTTGTTTCTGGCTTTTATTACATTATTGTGGGTGTTTTTGTAATATAACATTAAAAAATTTTGGGCGGCACTGCACGACCGTGCTCTATGCTTGTTGTTGATATAACTCCCTTAAAGGCTTTCAATATGATAAAGCAAGTAAACAAAAGTGGGACTTTTTTTTTTATTGTCAGTGTTCAAAACAACGAAAATGAGAGGTCTGAGGGTCGTCAAAACTCTTGAAACAAATTAGGCCCAAGAATGCCTTGACGGGGATTCGAAATATTGTTTTTCGAAGTCCAAGGTGACATACTCCAATGGAGAAGGAAACAGACTGCCATCGAAGAAAAAATTAAATGGTAACTGAGAACATCAAAAAGATTTACTACAATATAATTGTCTTCAAATATCGTGACATTACAATGCGACTTTTTTCCTTGGCAAAGGTTTTTGTAACCGGCTCTTCAATGTTTGAAACCTAAGAAATGAAGAAATCGTTTGAAACAAGAGCAGCCGGTCCTTTCTGCCCTCCCTCTGTAACTTCTATAATAACCAACACACATCAGAAAGTCTGATCGCTGCTAGTATGAATGCACGTCACTCTCCAGACATCGATCATATATCAAGCCGCATACATTCCGGAATATGACAAATTGACTCCCGAGGTCTTCAGGGATGCCACTTTACCGACTCTTACGTCATCTGGACCATTGCATGGACGTCGATATCTGCTGGCACCAATGCTAATTGTCTCTTGGGCTCAGGGTCAAAAGTTTCCATCTGCTGTTCGTGTTACTATTGTAGGTTTCATAAGCTGTAGATGGCATCTTTTTCCGCTGTACAATCAGATTACTCGAAACTAATCATTGCTTCTACTCCTCATTCTTTTCTCAGCATATTGTCTGGATTCAAGATATTCACATAGCAGACACACGTTGTGTGTTGCTCGTATGGTCAAACATTCACAGACTGAGGCATTTTATTATGAGCACGTGAAGTAGAGTAACTCGGGGGTTTGATTGTAAGGGTTCAACACTCCACTGGCATGGTTTGAGTCGTTTAGGAAGCGGGCAACTTCGAAACCGCCAACTGGCCTAGGTAGGATACAGCAACCCAGGAGAGAGGTGGAGGTTTTTCTGTGAAAAATACACTTCCTCACATGGGATTTGGGCTGTACTGAATTCAGAACTTACTTTACGTAACAAGCTCGTTAGACGTGCAAATATGTAATAGAATGCTGATTTGAAAAACTAGCGCATGTCTACTGTATGCTTTTACTTCTACAAGTCATGAAATCCAAATCCAAGTGAATGCTCTCCTTGTGCTTTATTGTGTATTATTATGTTTTAAATCGTATGTAGTTCTGTATTTTCAAAACACTACGAGGGTTACATTTGTGTCACGACGTGGTGGAATCAGACGCTCGTCAATTTTTTGGCATGTTGAGTTATTGGTATTATCTGAAAGCGTATTTATTTGCCTTTCGTTCTCTGAAAAAAACACCCATCTATCTTGAATAGAAGTCGAAATATTTGAGGTTGAAGGAGGTGGGGATACCATGGTTTCAAAAGTCAAGTTATCGAGAAAATGGCCGTCAAAGTTGTGTAACTTCTATAACTTGAGAGTCCTTGAAAACTGAAAATCTACATATTTTGATCCATTAATCAACATTTTTCAGTAAAATTCACTATGAAATGTGTTTTTATAACGACATAAAAGGTGTTGAGCCAAAAATAAAGATGTTGTAAAATTTGCCAAACTGGAGGGAAAATGCCTGTTTCTTCGATTTCATTATTCTGACGAGCGCCTGATTTTACCACGATGTCTCAAATTTGTAGCCCGACGAATGTACCTGCAAACTGTTCGCAGGCTATTCTGACCACAACAACAAATGAAAAAATGAGCATGAATTTTTGAGCTTGTGAGGAGAACTTTTACAACTACCTTTTTATTGTTTGGTGCTCGGCTTTCCTGTGTGGTGCTGTTTTGTTTAACTCTTCCTTCATGTAAGTTGAAATAAATAGGACTTCCGCACTACAGCGAGGGGAATCCCTTTAATGATAAACAATCTTATATGCATTGAAAAATCTCCTAGTGTCTTTGATATCGTTACGATCTTGATTTTGTTTCATTATGATTTTTATGTTTTATTCGTTGCTGTTGTTTAAAAATAGTATTCGATCTTAGGATGTAGTCTGACGTGAGATATACTCTGAGCCAGATTGATTCAGATATCCGTACAGAATTGCAGATCCAAAAAGTAAATTGTCATTCAAAAACAGATCCATTGCATTCGTACAGGAGGTGCAACGCTTTAGTAGAAAAAAAAAACCAACATCAGAAGAACATATTAATCCAGATGTGCGTACCTGACAATCTCTTCTGAGAATTGTTTCTTCTTTTCTTTATGTCTTTAGCATTGCCTTGTGCAAACAGCCACGCCTTAAAAATGCTCTACTACTGGTCGGTTGGTGTTCAAAATATGAACACACTGCGAGTCAGCAAAACAACATCCACATTTTGATAAGAAGAAGACTACATTATATAACATGGAAAAGGGAGATGAAAACTAAAAAGACGAACCCTAACGGTCGGTAAGAACAATACTAACTCCCTTCTTTACTTCTCCCCCAGGTATCTACCTGACCATCGTGATGTCCTTGACCTCTGTTTCTGTCATCATGACTGTATTTGTATTGAACCTCCACCACCGTGGACCTCAGAAACAGTCGGTGCCAGACTGGCTTCGTCGCCTCTTCCTCGGTGCCCGCTCAGGTCGTCGCAGACCCTCCTGTTTCCGGAACTCAGACCGCATGGGCCGGTTACACTACACAGGGGTACCCGGGGTGGATACCAACTGTGTCGTCAGAGACGTGTCTCTTAAGCTCACCCTTGAGAATTTAGCTCAGGACCTGAGGGATGAGCTTCGTTTGGATAACGGGGGTGTGCCAGAAGTGGATACGTTGCCGTCTACAGTTGCCTCGCAGTCTCCTCGATCGACGGCTACAACTGAACAGTGTGTGGACAGTGCAACGTCATCGCCTGGACAGTTTAAGACAGCTACAACAACGGTGACGACGACGGGCGTGGATAGTTGTGCGGATACACCGAATTCCACTCCGACGTTTGGGAATAGTGTGGGCAGAAAAGATCGGCTCTTGACCCCTCTTATAGGAAGTGGAGGCGGGTCAGGAGGAAGTGTGGGAGGTGGAGGAGGAGGGGGTGGAAGGGGGTCGAAAAGTGGACACACAGGTGGACGCAGTGGAGTCGGTGTTGAAAATACTGGCGGTGTAGGAGGAGGATCGGGAGATGGGGTGACGTCAAGTAGCAGACCGCGGGCGGCGAGGAAACGTCATCCGAAATCACGCTCGTCTGCGCCTTACGAGGACGCTCTCATGTCCCTAACCAAACTGCTGGAGAGACACGACAAGGACGAGAAAGAGTATGACGTCATCCAGGACTGGCGTCGATTGGCGCAGACGGTGGACAGGATTCTGTTCGTGTTCTTCCTGGTGGCCACCATCACTTCCACGCTGGCGGTGCTTGTTGTTATGCCCGCTACACAAGACTCGTGACCCCAGCATTGTACATTTGGGACTCGTTATGACCTGTAATGGTCCATTGTGTGTACAAAGTGTTAGACGGTGCGAAAAGGGGTAACCAAAAGAAGCAGCCTCCATAATGGAAGAAATGTGTCACTAAACGTGGGTGGGGGGGGTGTCGAAATGTGCGTTTCATTTCTTGTTAATCCAGATTCGAGGATACTACTAGGACTATTTTCTGCCGCGAACGAGTTAGTTGTACTGTGAGTGTTGCCCTGTCTGAGGGCATTATTATTACAAAGGGCACGAGAACAATCTTTATCTCTGTGACAGGGAGGAAGAGAGAGTGATGTTCACGGTTCCACGGCACTGCGACATTTTGGAGTTTTGTGGAAGTCAGACACAATTGCAATTATAGAGTTCATGTATCATCTTTATTCGGTGAAATCAATGAATAATCGCGATTTTGAGGGCGCTTTCAACAAAGGGCTGTTCAATTTTTTCTTCAGTTAATGTATCTCTCAATGACTCAGAAGAAAGCAGTCTGAACACCTGATTGTACCTTTCCAAGTTGTTTGGGGGAAAATAGTTGATTTGAGTCGGTCGTTGTGTTTCTGTGGCATATAAACATGAACTTTCGTGTAAGTTAATGATTCGATTTCGTTGTAAGTACAAGGACGTTCCTGAATATTTCCCCTAAGCTTATTGGCCTGAAGGGAAGCAATACCCGTTCTTCTCAAAGACAAACACTGTAATTTGTATGTCAGTCAGTGTTACTAACAATAATCTAAAAACAAATGTAAACCTTTCAACAACATCAATAGCTAAATTGCAGCCACCTGAAAGCACCTTTATGACTTTTATGTACAAAATACCCGCAGCTGCTTAAATTGAGAGTTAAATTTCCAACTGGTTAAGAAAAAATAATAACCGAGACTAGAGGGGAGAGAGGAAGGGAGAGAAAATGAAAGAAAAAATAGAGAGAGAAAGAAAGAGAGAGATTATAATACCTAAGGGTAATGAAACTAGAAATCAATGCAATATTAGATTATTTTTATATTGATGTGACAATTTGTTCGTTAGTGTCACATACTGTTTTGTTTGACATCTTCAAGTGAAGGTTGCTGAAGAGCATGTTTGTCGTGAGGACTGTCTTTTGCATTGCTACAATATTTGAAGGATTTATCGGTAATCTTTTTTAAAAATTAAGACTACATGGATTGTCTACCAGAGACTGTCTTTACTGTCACTGGCAGTTATTATGTTTCCAGATCAGTTTCCTTCTGCGGCTTCTGCTTGTGCATGACCCTTTAAAACGGCGCTGCTTTTATTAATTCTCCTTTTCATAGTGAAGGGGATACGTTGATTTTAAAGTGGGAAGTAGGAAGCAGAAGCGTTGTTTGTATGTGTTGGTTGAAGAGTGTATGCAAGATCGTGCACCAAAGATAGACAGTGACAGTGACAATGAGACTGAGAGAGGGGGGGGGGGGCAGAAACAGAGAGAAAGAGGGAAAAAATGGCAGAGGGGAAAAGACGGAGGAACTCATCTAAGCGCCATCCATGGCTTGGAAATAGCGAAACTGCTATAACATACGCACCGCAAGTAGACAGTACCGTAGTTAGTCCTTTCAGTGATACCCTCCTGCCTCCCGTGAAGAAGAAATAGAGAAAGAGAGAGAGAGAGAGAGAGGGGGGGGGGGTGGAACATCAGTAAATGGCTTCTATTTTGTTGTCCATAGTGGGTAGATGCATGACCAAATTTCGCCAAGAACGATCAAAGGACAAAAAGCAGAAAGACAAAAGTATGGCACACGAAACAGAATGTTCAACAACCTCTTCAGTAAGGCCAAATTATGGCAAACAAAAAAATACAATAGTCTAACAATCAGACAGGAAAACAACAGATACAAGAATATAATAATATGCACAAATACAGACAAATTGTGCCTTGTAAGTCATAAAGCAAAAGATTCAGAACAATAATCATAAGGCCACGTATGCATGTATTTCACAATAACGGTCAGGACTATGATTCAGAAATCAGCCGTAGAACAAGTTATGAAATGATGGTTATATTATCAGTACCTCACTTGTCCATCTTTCAAACATGCAGCTGTACCTAGGTTCTTAGATCAGCACGGAAGAAACCTGTGTCTAAGGGTCTAAGGGCTCGTCTGCTTAAGAAACGAAACAAAGCAGAAATTAACATGTTGCGGATGAAGCACACTACGATCTTAAATAGACAGGTGTTTTTACGCCCCACCGACACTGTTTAGATCATCTCACAGTTCTGAACAAAGCAAAACATCTTTAAAAAATTAAATATTACATTATTATTATTATACTGTGTTTATATTAACAAACTGGATTACCAGGTTGAGGGGGGGAGCTTTTCAAACCCATAACCCAAAACCCCCCCACAAAAAAAAAAAAAACATTCGGCCCCCCCCCCCCCCCCCCCCCCCCATTCTCTAACTGGAGTTACCAAAGCATTTCTCAATGAAGCAAAACGTAGATTTATTTTGGAGGTTGTGTTCATTGGAAATGTTACACGCGATTTGTTTGATGATTTTGGAGCGTACAGTAGGATATTTTTAAAAAATTGTCTTTTGCAAGAATCCAAGTACCTAACTACGGATTTAGATCTAGATCTAGATCTGTACTAAGAAGCACAGCACTTCAAATGTGACTTGGCTTGTCGGGTTAACTTATATAATAAGCAATGTCATCTCAGTTCAGATTTCAACATCTGTATACGTAACATACAGCTAAATTGTTCCTTTGAAGTTCTGAATTATCTTTCCTCACAATCGTCTCTGCTACTTTCACAAAAATTCCCTCATACGCCGCGGGCTGGCCGGAAAGACTTAAGCTCCTGATACAGATGACATTGTACAGAAGCTCGACACTGGCAAGTTAAAACTTTGTTTATTGAACACATCAAGATTCGTTACTGTATCTGATCTCCGACGAGGTAGATTCATTATTCTTGCCTCTTTTATTCCCCAATATGTGTTTTAAAAGGGAGTACAGGTTGTAATCGAGCAAATGTTGAATTTTTTCTCGCTACTTTAAAAAGTTTTAAAGTTGTTGTATTCAGTGAAGTATAAAGGGTACTTTAACACTAACACCAACATATTAACAGTAATCGCAATCGTCATCATCATCATCATCATCATCATCATCATCATCATCATCATCATCATCATCATCATCATCATCATTATTATTATTATCATCATCATCCTCATCATCATCATCATCATCAGCAGCAGCAGCAGCAGCAGCAGCAGCAGCAGCAGCAGCCAGCAGCAGCAGCAGCAGCAGCAGCAGCAGCAGCAGCAGCAGCAACAACAACATCTATCCCCGACGTTGTCATTGCTGATACCATTGTTTACGTATTTTATGTTGATCTGATAAAAAAAATAAAGTGCAGAAGTCAAGACAAGTAATGTCTTAAAGTAAAGTTTCATCGCGATACAAAATCTGATAGCCATCAGAGGCGAATAGCTCAGGATGTCTGATTCAAGAAATTGAAGCCCGAATGTTATCTAACCTGGGAGCTCTAGCAGCTTTCTGATTCTAGCTCACATTCAATAACATCACATTGCAAAGTACATTTACTCGTCCGTCGCCATTTTAAACAGCATAATAAGATTGAAACGGATGAAATATATATCTGACTTCAAAGAGACAAGAAATTCCCGAATTTCGGAATATTTAGGCTGAGCAAACTTCAAGAACTTTGCTTTTGGGAGCTTTATGTATTCGGACACATTTTTAAAATCCCATGTTCGTTTTAAAAAGGATCTAGGACAATAATTTGCCATTCACCTTTATATTCTGTCATTAAGCTGCAATTTTACCCTTATCAAACTCTCTGCCTGCTTTGAAGATTGAGCCCCTCCCTAGTACGTTCACTTCTTTTGCAAGCTGTAAGATCGAGTCAATGTTAACTAATCATTAGACTGCCCGGGGCAGGCAGAAAACAAATCGCCAAAAACACTCATTGGCTAAACTCAAATTCATAGTATAGCAACCTCCGGCTTTCTTCAGTAAGATTAGATTCCCATACTTTACACGCATTGTTTTACCCCCAAAGCAAACAGTAGTCTGCCAAAGCTAAATTACCAACATTCCCACCTGGAACATGGATGAATTCGGCGCTTTTTACACTACTCGTCAAGACAAAAAAACAAGGCTTAGAGATTTTCCGGTGCAGTGAGACTAAAGCAGTTAGCTCTTCGAATCCGCTCTCTGACATTGTTAGCACACACTTTGAGTGAAAAGTTCAAACCAATTTGTCAGAAAGGTTAAGAATCTGTCTGTAATAGGGCACAATTTGTCCCCAAACAATAGCATATGAAAACATTGACAATACATGCTTACACAATGGATCGATATTACTGCATTCGCAACGCCAGCAGTCAGATTCGACTGCAAAATGAAACTCTGAAACAACCGCAGTAATAAAACATTACATAAAGGCAACATTAACACCAAATTATCATAATCTGCAGCAGCATTATGTATCTTTTGAAAAAAAAACAAATTACGTCATCATCATCGAGGAAGTCATCATCATTGAGGCAATCTCCATATCATTAGTCTTTTTAATCACGCAACAGTGTGTAACAGTGTGTAGCGGCGTGTAACAGCATGTAATAAAGCGGCTATCAAGAGAAACGATCCTTGTTGTGCAAAACGATCAGGTTAAATCAATAAATTGACTAAAAGATTTTTAGAATAACGTTGCCCTTTCTGCGTGTTCAGAGAAATGTTCCGAATTTTCTTTTCTTTTACCGCATAAATATTTTTGAAAGGTGACATATTTTTAGCACTTGGTGAGCTACCGCACTGTATGTCTTCCTGGGGATGAAAGGGCAGTATTTGAAACGAAGACGTGTTCTCTGATACTTATTGTGAAGTAGCATGACATTTCAGTTTTAGTTTTAGTAAGGTTTTACGGCACTCGCAACTCATTTAAGTTTGAGGGAGCGGGAAATGCTTAATGAGAAATAAAACATCCCCCC